AGCACAAGGAATGGACGTCCGAGCGATGGCGAGGGTCACTTTGGGGCCAGTCGTGGCCGCTCTCTCGCGCGAGTCGAGTGGCGGCAGCGGTCGTGAAGCCTTCGCCGTGCCAAGGGGGGGGGTTCCGGACCACAGGTCGGGGGAGGAGCCACGCAACCACCCATGGGGAGAGGCCACCTCCGGCGAGGAGGTCCACGATGCTTCCCCGAGCTGGGGATGCAGTCGACCCGCGTAGCAAGGATGGGGCAACCTCCCCAAGGGTACCCTCCTGGCATCGCTCGGACGTGTGCATTTTTTCTTCGGCGAGGGCCATCGAGGAGTATCCTTGGTCAATTGGCGAAACAACCACGCACGAAACTGAAAAAAACACAGGGAATGGACGTCCGAGCGACGGCAAGCCATTGCATCCTTGCCTCCTCGTCCCATCCTTGGCCACTTTCGTTGGCCGCGCCTCCGCTCTAGAAGCTGCGCAGTGGGCGTCCAAGGCCCTTGCATCAATGTCGCACATCCTTGTGATAGGGTCCGGCTGTAGTGGATGCCAAGAGCGAGATGGGGTGGGGGACACCACCTGGAGGGCCCTTCCTGGCTCCTCCCGCGGGTGGTCCCTGGTTGTGGTGGTGGCGCTGTCTTTGGTTCCTGACCAGTGTGGGATGGATCCCTCGGCCGGGCCGCGAACTCTCCCCAGATTTGATGGCCCTTTTTCCTTTTTCCATGACGTCTGCTGCCCCTCCCACCCTCGCCATCGCACGTACCCCAGACCATGATTTGCGACCCCTCCCCCCCCTCTTGGACGCCCTGGCGACTTCGACCCTCCTTCCTGCCCCCTCCCTCTTCGTCCTCCTCTTCTCCTCCCGCGTCCCCTGGTGAATCTCCTCCTGGTGTATCCTCTCCTCCTTGACTCCTGATGTATCATGGTGCATCCTGGTGCATCCTTGCCTCCCTCCCTTCCTGGTGTGTCCTGGTGCATCCTGGCGCATCCTGGTGTATTCGCTGTGCTTGCTTTTGCCTCCTCTCCTCCCTGCCTCCTCCCCCTTCTCCTCCTCTCCTCCTCACTCCGCCCCCCCCCCCTTTTCGCGCCTCCTCCCCACGCGCTCCGCGCGCGCGCGCGGGAGAGATCGGCCCCCAGGGAGGAAGGGCTTCGAGGGGGCGATGGCCGAGGGGTCCGGTCGAGGCCCTCCTGGGCCGAGGATCCGATCGAAGGTCGTTTGGCGTCGCCTGCCTTCCCGCGGATCCGTCGTCGCGGAGACGTTGGGCTCGAGCGTCACCCTCTTCCTCTGAGGAGGAACAGGTACCCCTACCCCTACCCTCGCCTCGGTTTCCCATTTTTGGGGCCTCCTGAGCGGCCCTCGTCCCCACCGCTGGATGCGCCTGGAGTTCCTGTTCTGAACGCACTCCGGGAGAGGTCTGGGGAGTCGCGGTATCGGTACCTTTTGGTTTCCCTTCTTCCTCCTTCCTCATTCCTCCTCCATGTCGCGCGCGTTTTGTTGTGGCCTATGTTTCGTCGTTGTTCCTGCTGCACGCTGTCTTCGGGGGTAGCACGTGTCACAGGCATGCAGCAGCAGGGGCAGTTTCATGAAGCTCTGCTCGCCACGCGAATCAGGAGGGAAAAAACACACAGACACAATTAATCGTCGACCCCCAGGAAAATATGGGAAAATAAGGGAAGTGGGGGGGAACACAAAAACACAGACAATATAGAAAAATATGAGAATCTGGTTATTTGTGTGTATTTATTTGTGTGTCCTGGGCCCCCTCAACGAAACGGAACGAAAACGGGAAATCCCGACGGGAGCCGTGGACCCCATGCTTCTGCGACGCCTCTCGCGACGCATCGATAATTGAGAGTCCTTGGGCCCGACGCAGAGAGCGAAATCCACCAGTGTCAACGACTTGCGACGCTGGACTCTCTCTCTTGACCTCCCAGATGGGTTCCGAGCGGACGTGGTCGGAGGATCGCGCCGCATCGCCGATGCATCGCCGATACATCAGCGCTGTATCGGCGATGCGGCGCGATCCTCCGACCCCATCTGCTCGGACCCCATCTCAAAGGCGTCTACTCTCCAGACAGGGCTAGGACGAGGAGAAGTCCGTTCCAGAGCGTTTCAGGATGCTCTCAGAGCGTCCTGGAACGCTTCGAGAAGGCCGCGGCGCCCGACGCAGGGGTCATTCCGATTCCGCCAGTTCGATTCGAATCGATTTCCGCGATTCCGATTTCGAACCGACTCGATTCTGGGATTCCGATTCGCGATTCCGATTTCTAGTGTGCCCGATCCGGTTTCTGCCGATTCGATGCGTCAGCCGATTTCTGCCGGCTTTTGCCGATTCGGCGGCTCTTGAGGATGCCTCGGCGAGGCATCCTCAAGAGCCGTCGGATCTCACAGATTCTCGATTCATCCTCACGCGAATTCGTCTTCGTCTTGGCCTCGTCTCAACTCTCGGGACTCGAGGCGCCCGCTCTCGGACCGTGGATCGTGCGTCGGGTCCTATCGTGGATCGAGGATTGTGCATCGAGGCTCGCGGATCGGAGGAGGAGGAGGAGGAGGAGGAGGAGGAGGAGGAGGAGGAGGAGGAGGGAGGAGGAGGAGGAGGAGGAGGAGGAGGATCGGATCCCATCGTGGATCGAGGCTCGTGGCTCGGGCCCTGTCGTAGATCGTGGCTCGAGGGTCCCGGCGTGGCCCGTGGATCGAGGAGCGGGTCCTGCTGCTGCCCCGAGCTTGGCATCGCTCGGACGTGTGCATTTTCCCTTCGGCGAGGACCATCGAGGAGCATCCTTGACCACTTGGCGAAAAAACCACGCGCGAAACCAAAAAAAACAGGGAATGGCCGTCCGAGCGATGGCCAGCGAGGGGGGGCACACTCCCCCCTCGCTGGGCCCGCGCGGCGCCCGGGCCCACGCCGGGCCGCCGCGAGCGGGCTGCGGGGGCGGAGAGCCCGGGGTCGGCCCGCCGGGGCCAGGGCCGGGCGCCCGCCGCCCCTGGTCGGGCCGGACAGAAGGTCAAGCAGTGACGAAACTTCTTTGTTCGCTTAAAATAGCCCTACCAAACAATGTTCTAAGAACCTTTTGTGGTTTCCACGAAATGCTCTTAGACCGTTACTGGCGGAGATTGTGTTGTTTTAACCCATTTACGGTCTTAAAATACATGTTTTTTGTTATTGGAACATTTTTGGGTTCTAAGAACATGTCGTGGTAGGACTATAGGAATGCCGGGACGGTCGGTCCCTGCTCAAAAAGGGGGGGATAGGGAAAGGGGGGGGGGGGTACAACATCTGCTGGTTTCGGCCCCGCCGCCGGGCCCATTCCTCGATACATGGCCGCCTTCCGGCGCCGGGAGGCGCTGGGAGAATCAGCCCCGTGAGCTGATTCTCAAGCCCCCCCTCTGCTATCCCCCTCTTTCGCCCGGTCCGACCCTTGTGGAGCTCAGGGCTCGAAGTTGAAAGGTCCAAGGGCCCGGTGATGGGCCCATGTTGCACCACCACTACCATAGGTAGGAGAGGGAGGAGGAGGAGGAGGAGGAGGAGGAGGAGGAGGAGGAGGGCCAGTGTAAACCCAAGAGTCGTCAACGATGCTGGAATTAGCCCTCCCTCGAAGCTCCTCTTTTTCATAGGCCCCTACAACGGTTCATATCCCCTGAGGGAACTGGCTCGTTGGGAGAACCGTTTGAAGACCTCGAAGCATGCCAAAACATTGCTCTCGGGATTTCCACGCCATGGGTTGAAGTCGCCAACTTTGGGACTTCAATTCCGCAAATCAACATAACTGTTGCACCCGCATGCTCCTGAACCCTTCCAAAACGCCGTTTCTGGTACGTTGACCATGGGGATCCGTGAAGGCCTTGCAAATTTTTAAAACGAATTTCCCCGGCGCTACAGCGAGAGCCACATCTTGAAAACGACCCGCCCTCAATCCGTGAAGCTCTGGCAATTTTTGAACACGAACGTGCGCGTTGCTAAGGCGAGAGCCACATTTTGAAAACCACCAGCCCTCAATCCGTGAAGATTTTGAAAATGTTTAAAACGACTGTGCGCGGCGCCACGGCGAGAGCCACATTTTGAAGACCACCCGCCCTCAATCCGTGAAACTCTTGCATTTTTTTGTATACGAATTTGCGCGGCGCTAAGGCGAGAGCCACATTTTGAAAACCACCCGCCCTCCATCTGTGAAGCTGTTGCCGTTCTTTCAGCTTCACGGTCATAAATGGTGAGGAAGTCTTAGGCGAAACGCCTGGCCCGCCCTAAAAACTGGCCTCGGGTTGCGACAGGGAGAAGTTCTTGACAAAGAAAAGGAATGGAGGAGGAGGAGGAGGAGGAGGAGGAGGAGGAGGAGGAGGAGGAGGAGGAGGACCTCCTCATCCTCCCTTCTCCCCCGTCCTGCATGTTGTAGCGGTGGCGGAAAATTCGCCCATGCTTCAGAGCTCGAAGGTTGAAGCTCGGAGCGCGGGGAGCTCGAAGTGTGCGAAGGGCTCGAGGGCCGAGGGTCCGATCGTGGACTGAGGCTCGAGGGTCCGAGTCCTCTGCTGCCAGGATCGAGGATCGTTGAGACTGAACGTGGATCCTCTCGTCCAGGGTGGATC